ACTACTCCATCCAGTTCATAATATAAGATGCTGTTTATTAATTTATACATACCAATAACAATAGTTAAAAGCATTAAATTTGTGACAAAATTTAAATGATTCTTAATATTATCCTTATTGACCACACTAAATTTAAACCTTATATAAATTTATACTCTCTCTCAATAACCTTATTAAATATGGAAAAATATAAAAATATTTAATTCTCATTAAAACTATAATAAAGTCTTATAAAATGGACCAAAATTTTTTTAGAGGACTTATTATAATGTGAACTAAAGCGAGTATTAACTTTCTTAAAACATCCTTAGCCCTCGCATTTTTTCTTAAAAAATTAGAAACGCATAAATTTGCATTAAAAATAGTGACACATAAATCATTGTCCCAATAAGGTTACTTTGAAAGTGAAATTTAATATAGTCAAATGTGAATCTACTGAAAGTTATAAAAAAAACCAAAAAAAAGATTCACCTAACAGCCTTTTAAATTTTAATGTAAATTTCTTATTAATGAAGTTTAGTTTCTTGTTTTAGATGGAATATATTATAGTACTACATTTGGAAAAAAAGACAAATCTTAAAAGGGTGGAATTCTATAGAATTCGTACGGCATGTCAATTGCCAAATTGCGAGTTCCCTTACGGCGGGTTACGACTTACGAGATGCAGGTGAAGGAAACTCGGCTTTAAGTTCTGCCGAACCCGCCACGGGTCAACCCGTCCTGGGCCAACCCGCTATATTATTATATTTTTGGATTTTTTTATGCTTGGTTAATTATATATTGAAATCCATGTTTAACTGTTTTTCTCCTTCTGTGTTGGTTTTTTTTTTTTTTGCCAGCTTCTTTCTTGGTTAATTATAGTTTGGTATTGTCTTATTTAGCAAATTATCTAAAAGATTAACATAATTTTTTATTCCTTAAATTTGTACCAATTTAGGTTTTAGTCTCTCAAATTTCAAACTATATATTTTGATCCCTTAAGGAGTAAAATAATATAGGTGTTTATTAAAGAAACTTGAAGGATCAAAATCTATAGTTTTAAATTTAAAAAATCGAAACCAAAATGAGAATAAATTTGAGAGATCAAAAATTATATTAACTTTTATATGAAATATTACAAACCTTCAAAACAAAAATGATACGAAGCTAAGGGTTTTTTTTTCATTATGAACCAATGGAAGAGTGACACATAATAAGTAATAGAATTTCAAAAAATAAATATGGGTTAGCTAACAACCCTGCCACATGTACAGGTTAAAAAAATTTGTTTCCAAGCAAGCATTCATCCCATCGACCCAAAATCCTAATCTTGTCATTTTCTTTTGTGGGGTTGAGCCCATATTATCAGTTTTAATTTAGGGGATATAACAATGCTGCCTCCATGTAGAATTTCAATTAGGTACAAATTTATCCTGTAATTACTTACTCACAAGTATTGAGCATCCAAAATATTTTTTGGGTGCAAATTTACCCCAGAAATTTAAATTTGGGATAAATTTGGGAAAAAAATTTAAAGTCGTAGCAAAAAATAAATTTGGGATAAATTTGCATCTTAACCCATTTCAATTCAATATAACTTCTTCAATATATATATATATATATATATATATTTCTATAATCCATTTAAGAGCTTGAATTATGAAAATTCTAAATTCTAATATTACCTTTGAATTGTAAATTGTATGAAAAACTAAACAGCTTTATTATGATTTTTTTTAATAAAAAGTTTATGTAAGTTAGGTTGTGGACCAGAGCAACGTCTATGTTCAAAAAGAAAATTTAGAGGTATTGATAACTCGATCATTAACAACATTTTCACATCAACAATATGATTTAAATTTATCACTTTGTAAGCTAAATCTATAAACTTTTGTTAGCACTTTATTATTAGGGAAAAGTAATTTTCCAGTCCCTATAGTTTGCATGAGTTTTGAAACAGGTCCCTAAATTTTTTCTCTTTTTTATGGGGTCCTTTGAGTTTACTCTGCTAGTTCTTTCGATTCCTCATCTCAAAAACCGTTAAATAAGCACTAACGGTGTTAACATTTCCATTAGATCAATTTGAGGTGGCAAATAGCTGGCAATATTTTACAATGTGGACCCTAACTAAAAATCCAGGCGGAAGTAGTTGGTGTCTGGGAAAAAATAAAGTCCTGCATCGACGAAGCCACACACTAGGGCATCATTGTCTTCTCTATCAAGGAGCTTCAGCAGATTACAAAATACTAGAAATTAAGTCCCAAATGCCCATAGGTTCAGAATATATGATGCACCCACAAAAATCATTCCCAGACGGCGATTATATTATGTCATCGGCAATAAAAACGAAAACAAAGAACCTGTTCATTGTTCAAGGCTTCAAGGTTCCACCACCGTTAACCCCTCTCTGGAACATAAATCCTTTTAAAACTTTTGGCCATATTTCAAGATAGTCCTCTGGTCCTATTTATAGGGTAAAGAGAGAATATATTTTTTGGTTCTATTTATAGGGCATGAGAGAAATTTTTTGTATAGATGTACAATTTTATCCCTCATTTATTATTATGTTAACTTTATTTATACGAGGTATAATGTGTATTAAATAAGGATAAAGTTGAAAAGTCATTAAATTTTAAATAAGAATTAATGAAATTTAAGGTTTTTTTTTGTTTGTGTGAAACATATTGGAAGTACCTTATAAATAGGACCAGAGGAGTAGGTAGGATACGATACGGACAGAACTTCGAGGCTGGGTTGAAGAACTCCAAATTTGACGGAATGAGATGCGGATGTTGCTGAATCCAAGGTGCGATGGTTTTAGATTCATATACATACAGAGATTCCAATTTCAGATTTTAGCTTCCTATTTTCATAAACTTTAATTTCATGGAATCTAGAAAGGAATCAATTTCAGGTTCAATAGGGCGTTATGCTTTCGAGATTCGAGCACTTCGTTCTTACCCTTGTTTCCTCCGTCTTCATTCAGGTTCACCCTAATCTATTTGATATTTTGCTTGTATTTGATAGTGCCTGTACTTGACACAAGCATTTTTTTTTCCACGTCACCCTCAGGAGTTGCCACCTCAGATTGATCTCGTGAAATCTTTAACATTGTCATTGCTTATTTAACAGTTTTGAAGAAAGAGGACTAACAAAACTAATAAAGCAAATTTAAAGGACCTCATAAAAAAAAATCCAAGGACCTACTTCAGAAATTGTGCAAACTATAAGGACTTGGAAACTAATTTTCCCTTATTATTATGTTCATGAATATACCTTGGGCCTGCGAAATTGGAACGAGTGAAAAATGGGCCTTTGATCAGCTACAAAAAAAATCAAGACCTTTTCAAATTTAGGAGCGCAGATGCTAATGTTACGGGATTATGAGTGAAATTAAACCTGCAATCTCTTGTTTTAAGAAATTTTAATGACATGAAATTATAAAGTCATTGACCTTCTTATCTTAAATAAGGAGTGTACTAATAGGTTGAACTTGATTAGCAATGCTCTTTTGTTTTGAAAGGGACAAAACTAGATTATCAAAAAGTCAATTAAGCAAATTCAGCTAAAAATAAATAGAAAAGGAAGGTGTTTGTTGTCACTCAAAAGCACCCAAAAAAAAAATACTTTTACGTAAATTGAGATAAAACTATTCTCACATATTTATTTTGAATTTTATAAAACTATTTTTAAAAAGCTAATCCGAGTGCTCCTGAATAAAATAAAAGGGAATCATTATAAAACTCTTAAGAAATGAATGTATTTACTAAAACAATCTCATAAAAATTAAATAACATGTAATAACAAGTTACAATACATCAAATGATGTAGGGGTTCATGTTGCTCAGTTATCATTAGGGCGTGACGGTTATTACATTCATTTCTTGAAATCTTAAAATAATTATCCCAAAAATAAAATCAAATAAAAAATAAGATGAAAAACTGAAAGATAAAATATGTTTTGTTATGTATCCTTTACATATGAGAAGGCTACTTCAAAGGGACTGCAATGGTCAGCACGATAAGGGCTAATTAGCTCAGATGAGCTTCTTGTTGTGTATCAAAACAATAAAATAAAAATAAAAAGTAAATAATATTCATATAATTATTTTATAAAAAAAAGAAGAAGAGTAATGTTTACATTAAGTTTTTTATATTCATTATATCAAGTTCTCCAATCTCAGATGATAATGCGTCATATTTTTTAAATATTAGTATTTAATTATGAATTTATAAGAAATAAAAAAAAGACACATGACATAATGTCATGTATACTTAAAAAACTTGATATAATAGATATAACAAACTTTTTCAAGTTAAGAATATAAATTCTCTGTCACTTTCAAACACCAAATAAAAATAATTAAATCGATTTACTTCAATATTGATAATTTTTTAACATGATGATGGTGCAATTTTTAGCAAGGATGCGATTTTTTAAGTTATTGTAATTTTTCATAATAAAAGTGAGATCAATAGGGAAAAAATAAACGGTTTTGAATATCAAAATATATAATTTTGTGAACTATGACTACACACACATATATGCATAAGTTTGTTTCATTTTTTAGAATTAATACTTTTCCGGTCTTTAATATAAAACCTATTTAAATAATTTGATTAGATTAAAAAAATTAGGTAAGTTAGTTAATTATAAGAAATATGATATGTTTTTTTTTCTAAAACACTATAATTATCTTCTTTAATATCTTTTCTTTTTTTTCTATTTGATTGTGGTTGAAATAATATCTATAAAGATAATTTAGAAAAAAATTGATAAATATATTAAATAGGTCTTATATTCAGGATCAAAATCAATTTAATAATTAGATCTTATATTAAGGACATGAAAAATATTTGTTTTGATGAAAAATATCAATTCTTTTTTCCTTTTTTCCCGAGAAAACGAAATGATGAGAGGTTGCGAGCAGAGCATGAAAGAATATGCTCATTGAGCTGACTCTCAACATATCTAGGGTTTGCACCTTCTCATATAAATACTAAACCATAGCTCCGTACCCTTGCTTCCCTCTTGCGTGCTGATTTGAGAGCTTCTCTGAGTCTCACTAATCTGCTCTCAAAATGGCCGTCACCTTCTCAGATCTCCGCACGGAATCAGGACTCAAGTCCCTCAATGAATTCCTCTCTGGCAAGACCTACATATCTGGGTAACTTTCTCCGATTTGATTTTCGTTTTTGAACTAATTCGCTCGAGATTTCTTCAATTCTCAATCTCTTGTGGTTCTGATTGAATTTGCAGGGATCAGTTGACCAAGGATGACATTAAAGTCTATGCCTTTGTAAAGAACCCGAGCGACGCTTTTCCGAATGCCAGCAAGTGGTACGATGCCGTCTCTTCACGTCTTGTTGAAAGGTTTGTTCCTTTATCTCTCTTCAATGTTCAGATGGGCTAGGTTCCTTTCGTTTGTTCTCAATCTTATTCAATTTGGAAGTTGATAACGAGTTTGTATGCTTAGCTTCCCTGGAAAAGCTCAAGGGGTGAGTTTCAGTGGCCAGGCTGCTTCAGCTGAAGCTGCACCTGCCAAGCCGGTATGCCTCTCACTTGATTTTGTGTTTTGTTATTTCTTTATTGTTTCTCTGAATTTCTTTTTACGATTGTGACTGTTACTTTTTAGCGGTTTTTAGGTCGGATTTTCTTTCTTTAATTTACTGAGTTAACATACTGATAGTTATGTCAGTGTGTATAAATGCATTGGATTTAGGCTGCTTCTTGTTTGGCCTGAGATGTAGGTTTTCTTCAGTTCCTAGCACTCTTTAAGTACCCTAAAATGCATCTGAAAAAGTTCAGAGATGAAAAATGACACCCCTGTCTTCAGATTAAAGAAGGAGAAGGCTACAATGTAAAGAGAATCTCTTTCTATTATTATACCAAACATGCCATGATAAGCTAAGCAGAGGGTCAAACATAGCTTTGATTGACACTAGAAAGGCTGTTGTTTTGATGAGCAAATTAGAAAGATCCAACTTGTAATCTTGATGAGATAAATTGTAATGTATCATGTTAACACATAGGCTGGTACCTGAATCTTGAAATTTTGTGATATGCTTGACAAAGTCAAATGTCCTGGATAAGGTAATTGTTGTACTGTACTTGTACTTTTGTGAAATGCTTCTCCTAATTAGATTCCTGTGTATTTGCAGGCTGGTGCTGATGACGATGATGACCTTGACCTCTTTGGTGATGAGACAGAGGAAGAAAAGGCCGCAGCAGAGGCAAGGGAGGCTACTAAAAAGGAATCCTCCAAGAAGAAAGAGAGTAAGACTTCTTTCAACTTTAATTTGTGGTACATGAAGCATCTAATTCATTAACCTACCTACTGGTCCTGCCATCCAGGAGGTTCATTTTGTTTAGTGCTGGGGTTTTACTTGTAGGTTTATATTAACTAGACTTTTCTTTCAACTATCCTTGCTGAGAGTAATACCGTCATCTATCTGCGTTTTGTAGGTGGGAAGTCCTCTGTTCTGCTTGATGTGAAGCCTTGGGATGATGAGACAGACATGAAGAAGCTTGAAGAGGCTGTTCGTTCGATTCAGATGCCTGGGCTTCTGTGGGGAGCATGTATGTTGAATTTTTTTAACCACCGTTACCTTGCTCATTTTCTGACTCATTTAAAACGAAGTATACGATGTGAACAAATGCTTTGTTTCAAACCTTTGCAGCCAAACTAGCTCCTGTTGGTTACGGTATTAAGAAGATGCAGATAATGATGACCATTGTTGACGACCTTGTCTCTGTGGATTCCCTTATTGAGGAACAGCTTACAGTGGAGCCATGCAGTGAGTATATTCAGAGTTGTGACATTGTTGCGTTCAACAAAATCTAAGGTTTCTTTGCTGGACATAAGTGTGGCCATTTTCAAGCGGCTGATTTATCTGTTCTTGGTTAATAACCCTCGTTTATCGTTGTGTTTGTTTCTGTTTTAATGTTCGTTTTGTTACTAGAAATTATGAAGAGAAGGAATATATCTTAAGTATTCTTAATTGTGTTATGGTGCTACCTCAAATAGTGTCCTTGTAAACCGCTTACATAGATGAATGGGATTGACGTTTATGGACAGAGTGCATCCATTTGATTCTGGTTGGAAAAATTGGCAGATAAGGATTCATAATTTATACGTATGATAGATGAGGATTCTAATCAAATATTTTCTCAAAATATTATTGGAGTCAACTATAGTCGGTGATTCTTAGAATTGACATTTATATTATTTTGTGGTGACAGTTGTCATTTATATTTATGTTCCCTTAATATAGCGTTGTTTTTTTGGTGTTGCAAATACGTTTATCTTCAATTCTATATGCATTGATGATGTACTGATTTATATAAATTTTGATCTTAATTGTTAATTTCGTTTTTTTCGTGAATAATGAAGTATTTTGATGTAAGTTAGTTGTGGTTTCAGATTATATGATTTTTAATTTTTAATTCATGTTGGATCTTATATTTATATATATTTTAAATTAATTAATTAAATTATAAATTGATGTATATTTATCTCTTCTTTTATAAGAAATAATTTTCACGAGACATTTTCTTCTTTTCATAATCCCTTTTATTTTGAATAAGAATATTTTAAAGGAAAATTTATAATTTTTACGTGTCTCTGATAAATTTTAACAATGATTTGGTTAAATTTTTCTTATAAAAAGGAATAGTGACATGTAATATTTCTAATAATTAATTTATCTTTTTTGTTTTAATTTATTCAAATTGGATTGCTACTTATATGTAGTATAATTTTCTAACAGTATGTGGAACATGTGATTTACCTTTCTAAGTGGTAACTTGTCTGTGTTATTAATGGCAATTTGGACTATTAATTTATATTTTAGGCTAGTTAACACCTGGTTACAATGTAATTTTTGTATTTTGTAATGTAATTGATATTATAAAATGAGTTTTATATTTAGAACCAGAAGGAATAAGATGACAATTTTTAGATTCTGTTACAATTTTTTTTATTCGTTAAATTTTACACAACTTTATTTTTATTTTAAGTATTTTTATCACATATTTTATAAAATTTTAATATTGAAAAAGAAAAATAACACAATTCTAAAGAAGTTTCCAAAGCAAGAATAATGATAATAGAATTTTAGCGGGGGTGGGCTTTATTGCGACTGAGAATCCTAAAGCGAGACAACTTTATATTTGTCATTTTTAATCAGTCTTTATTTTTCAGCTCAGAGGAAAGTAAATACGAAAAATAGGGAAAATTTTCCTACTAAAAATTTTATATGTGAGGAGAGCTAATAAATCTTTATATCCAGAAAGTAATAGTGGTCAGCGAATTTTTATGTACATTGATACTGTTATTTTGATTTACGTTGTTCTTACTAATAAAATTTTTGACGATGACAATTTTACAATTTTTCCAAAACAATTCTTTATTTTTTTTTATATCAACTAAGAGAAAACTAAATATTACCTCCGACTCTAGTGTCCAGATAATTAGCGAGTTTGTTTTGTATTAAAAAAATTAGCTAGTTTTTTTAAAGATAAACAAATTGTTTTTAAATATTTTTGAGATGTACAATTTTTAATGAATTTAATTTATGTGCTAGCTCTTAGCTAATTGGACTAAAAGCCTTCAAAGAAGGAAAAAATAAATTTCGTGTTTATTATATAATTTTTTAGAAATAAATATTCTCTCATTTTTTATCTTTTATCTTAACTAACTAACATAAAATATAAATTTCATAATAAATGTTTCTGCCAACAAATTTCATAATAAATTATATCATGATAAGTCATAAATAAAACAGATTATGCTTTAAATTCGTGGATTGTTGGCAACATGCTGTGAAGAATTCAATTTTCAAATAACACGTCTAAACAATTTCATCTGGTAAGATAAGGCGTGGCTTAAACGAATAAATTAATTAAATTCTCTATAGTAAACTCCTGAGTCCTGAATTCACCTTATCTATTTAATTTATAATTTTTTTCATAAATTATTCTCATTGATAGCATATTTGTTGCATATATTCCAGGATTTTTATAATGAATAATTTTCAATGCAAATAATAAAAAATAATAAAATAAAAATTTAATTATTCTTCATAATTATTTATTTAGTACTACTCCTGGTACTAATTATAAGAGCTAGTTGACTATTTTGAGGAGATTAAGGAGAGAAATTAAATTAGTTATTGGTACTAATTATAAGAGCTAGTTGACTAATTTGAGGAGATTAAGGAGAGAAGTTAAGTTAGTTATTCGTAACAAATAGATGTTGTTTTTCCTAAGATATCCTTACTAATTAAATATATTAACTAGAACTACCATTGTTAGAAGGATTAATTTAAAAAAAAAAATATGAAAAAAAAAATAGATTGAAATTTTATATTTAATTTACTAAGATCTGTTCATCTTATTCTCGAAAAGGATCGAAAAAGAACTCACTTTTTCCGGAAAATTCCATTCCCTCTTTCCCCAGTCCCAACACTCTCTTCGACACTCTTCGTACTATCGCCCGCTCTGGGGCTTGGAATCTTTGGCTTCTCTGTTCTGAATTCTCTTGCATCTTCCCAAATTCGGGTTAGTACGCCAGCTCCACATTTTAAGCTTCTTTTCTCTGATTTCCTTTTTGTCTATCTATACTTTTAGTCGGCAGTCACCATGTTTTTTATTAGTTTATTTTTCAAGTTTAGTCCACAAGTTGAGATTTTTGTCATTGGACAATTGTCGGATTCATTCTTGATTTTGCTTCCTCTTGGGGTTCTGTTATTAGTTTTATGTTCTCTTTTTGTGTATCTATACGCTAATTCTGTTGTTGTGCTTGCTGTCTTTGTCAGTGATTATTGATAACGAAAGCTATGTTGCGCTTGAATTTCCTTATTCCGGTTGCATGAAGTTTGCTACTCCCAAAATTTTTAATAATTTCCTCATAATTCGTCGGGATTATGAATTATTTTCAAATGAACACGATGTAGTATGTTTCTCTGTGTTCTGCCTGTACTTTATTGTGTTCATAACCGAAATGAAGCAACAATTTGTCTGTTTATCTTTCCCCATTGCAACCACCGAGCTGGAATATTTGAGGCATGATATGTAGCATCTAATACCTGTGTTCCCAAGTCAGTCTAGTTGCGTAAAAAGTTCAATGTGCCTATGATCATGAAAGTGATGAAACTTGCACAATTTCCGTATGTTATCAGTAATGGAAGATGATTGCTCTTTCTTTGCATACGCGAGATATACGTTTATTATAGTTCTATTGTCAGTGTCACTACTCATTGCTTCCTAGTATTCTTTCACGTTAGAGATACATGTGTCCTTTCTATTTACAAAATCACTTTTTCTATTTAATTTTGCAGTTCATTCCACTCAATTATGTGGATCAAATGACTTGTTGATTTTCAGTTCAAAGGCCTGCGCGACAATACCTCAAGCTGTCAAAGGTTCGATGTAGTGAGCTTGTATATTGAAGCGTGAACCATACCTGTGTTTGGTTTTTCTCCTAAGTTGAACAATCTACCTTCCTACCAATACAATACCTTATAAAATGGAACAAAATAAACCTCTTTCCATGCCTATCTGCCATACATTATATGATCAACCATGTTCCTGATATTCCAAACACCCCCTTAAATGGCCAATAAGGAATCACTTTTACTTTGGCGGGTTTAAGGCTGTCATTTTCAGTCCCATAAGCTTAGTTTACTGTGGATGCTTAATGTTTGTATGTCTTTCCTTTTTCACTTGTGTTTAATATACTGTTATAGCTGTCAAATTTGTTCTGGCGCCTTATGAGTTAAAGATTGGTCAACTTCACACCAGTCGCTCCTCTGTTTTCAGTGGTGAGAATGGTTACTACCTGGACATAAGTGGTTTGGTTGTCTGATATAAATGTTTTTCTAAATATTTGATGCCCCTTAACGTGAGACCTATAAATATTATTTTACATGCACACATGAAAGTTTCTGTTAGTTTTCATGCAATCCTAGTGTCTGTTGATAGAAAGACATTCTTTTAAGGGTGAGAGGAGTAATCACTAAGGTCTCTGACTGAGTAACAAGGTTAGGGTTCAGATCAAGAGATGGGAAGCGTTGATTTTGTTTTTGTGATACAATGGTGAGGTCACCTGTACCGTGTCATGGATTACTATTTTTATCTCGGGTGAATACCTGTGAATGTGTGTGAGTGTGGGTCTCATGGATGAAACATCCAGTGGCATACCAAAAAGGACTTGACAGCCAGCTGAAGCAGTGACATGTTGAAGCTTCTAAATTAACTTTCTTTTTATTAATATTTTATTTTATAAACTTTTATATTGGTTTCTATTACATGCAAAGAAGTATAATTTGGTGCAGTACACAGGCTTTTAGCTGCAGATTTACCAGCAAGGATGTCAACCGGACCAACACACTGGTGTTATGAGTGTGGGCATCCGATTGCACTTGAAGGCAGAGAGGTCATTTGCCCTTACTGTCATGAAGGCTTTGTGCAAGAACTTAATGAGAGGCATGGGTTTCAACCATATAACGCTCTTGAAGATTTTCATCACATGCCCGATTTTTTTGATGCCATACATGCCTTTATGGCGCAGAGAGTTTCTGAACCAAGATTCGGGCTTGTAGATGCTTTTGACAATTTCAGGAGGCAGAGAATAGCTGGGCAATTCCCCAACATTGATGTTAGACAAAGAGCTGATACTGCACTATTTCCTGAATGGAGTCAGGATTTTTTCAATTCTGGCCCTTCTTTCATGTTTCATGGTAGTGGAGGGGAGCCCAGGCCTATTGATTTTGGTGGTTTGTTGATGGCCCCTGGACTGGAAGCATTTATTCAACAGCTCACCATGAATGATCATAGAGGTCCTCCTCCAGCCTCACATTCCTCAATTGATGCAATGCCTACTATTAAGATCACGCGAGCGCATCTTCGCTCTGATTCACAATGTCCGGTCTGTCAAGAAAAATTCGAGCTAGGCACCGAGGCAAGGCAGATGCCTTGTAACCATATTTATCACTCTGACTGTATTGTTCCCTGGTTGGTTCGGCATAACTCTTGTCCTGTTTGCCGTATTGAGCTGCCGCCTCCAGGACAGGGTAGCTCTCGTGGTGGAAGTCATGGAGGTAGGAATGTCAGTAGCAGCAGCATCCATGGTAGCTCGAGGAGACCGAACCAAGGAAGGAGAAATTCGCTATCATCTTGGTGGCCATTCTGATCTTTCAGTTTAAACGCCAGTCATTATGCTGAGACCCAGTGTGTAAGCAGCTCTTCTACTAATGATGACCAGAATAATAGGACGGGCTATAATGCTTCAGGATAAGTATAGTCTGGCTGTATAATAATGGTCTTAATGGAAGATATACATGGAAAATGACTGGAAACACTCGTGTCCTTTTAGTTTCTTAAGATGGATATTGTTTATATATATAATTAATTGAAATAGAAATATGTGACAGCTGAGTGAAACGTTAGATATTATGCTATATAGATTGTTGCAGTTGATGCAAATTTGAGAGGAACTTGAGTTTATAATCCCTCTCCTAGGATGATGATCAGCGGTCATGTTGGTTTCTGTCGTCATGAAGAGACATATGCAAATGAAATCTATATTCTCCTTGGAGAATTATGACCGGGCCAGCCAAATTTTAGGTGTTTTGTTGCATTCATACTTAACTACTATAATGCTTTCTAAATTTCTTTCATTTTTTCCAACAAATGCAACTTGTTACTGAGCTGAATGAATTGTGAAAAATAAATCTTGCTATCTTGGTGATTGTAACTGACTAACTGTCTGGATAAGTGCTTTTTGAGTTTGTAGAAATATCCTGATCTTATACAAAGCTTTTAGGATTTTAACACATCTCAACATTTTTATATATAAAAAACTAGAAGAGGGCCCATTTTATTTATGTTTTCTAATTCTCCAGTGACAATTGACAAAAGAACATTTTAAAGAAGCCGAATATTTCTTTTTCTTGTTTTTTTTTCCCGACATAGTATAGTTTGTTGAATGATGCTGGAAATGCCCTATAGGACAGGAGTGTATAATTGATAGTTAAGATTATTCTAAATGGGTTGACTATTAAGTTTTAAGGCTAAAACGTTATTTGTATACAGTTCAATACTTATGAAAATTTTATTTCATTTAGCATATTTTTATAAGAGGAAAATGCTAAAAAGTCTCCCATTGCAAAATTTATTGTCCAAGACTATCTAAGAACTCAAGGAGCAAGGGCAAATCATGTGCGAAATATATCTTGATTTATATGTAAATGTCTTTTATTTTGCAAATATAGATTGCGCACGGTCAAAAAAAAAGTTGTAGTTGGTTTGTGAAAAAAAGTACTTTGAAAAAATGTTTTTACGTAAGTCAAGACAATTTTTCTCATATATTGTATATCATAAAATCATTTACCATAAAACTTTAGTTTTCGTCCATACGCTTTAGAATCAGATAATCAATTGTTGCGCATATTTTTGTTTTCGGCCCTTTGCTTTTGTATTTTTCAGTCTACTCCTGCTACAGCAGGCGCTTCGTTTTATTCTTATGGTTAAAAGGCCGAAGTCAATTCAAAAGAAACAAAAAGAAATTGCAAAAACTAATTAATAAAAATACGATTAACTCATTTTAATATAAAAGAAAACTTACCAACCCCCTGGTGTCCCAACGGGAGGAAAACTTGCAAATTTCATACAAAGCAATTCTCCAATTCTGTACTTTGTCTTAATTTCAATCTCAAAAACAAGGAGAGTTGTGTTCAGCCGGAGGGTTAATCCAAATTATCGAACGTTTTCAAGATTTGCGCCATTTTTATCAAAGAAATTTGGTTTTATCTGCCCTCTCGTATGCTGACAGAAGGCTCTCTTTCTTTCCTTTGGTTTTTTCTCTTCTGGCGTTGGACTCTAAGAGTAATAGAAGCCACTTCTTCATTTCTTCCAAGACAATGCATGGGATGCTTCCGCTTCCCTATGTCCATCGTCGAAGGTGTTTTTGTTTCTACTTCTATTTTCTTATTCACTGCATTATATGTGATGATGCTGCAGATTACTATTCGGATTCAGGGTTAAACAAAAAAAAAAAAAGATTACTATTTGGACAAATGCATCCGAGAGATCGACTTATTGAAATGTCTTCCGCCGCTAAAGAAGAATCTTGCCCGAGCTCCTTTACTTGTAGTTCAACCTTAAAATGGGAGTTTGATGTTTTCTTGAGTTTTGCAGGGAGAGATACTCGCTTAAATTTCACGGATCACTTATGTGATGCTTTCATTAGAAGTGGCATCAGATGTTTTAGGGATGATAAAGGAATAAAGAAAGGGGAAGTTATTAAACAACAACTCATTCAAGCCATCAAGGATTCTCTCTGTGCTGTTGTTGTTCTCTCCGAAAATTATGCAAATTCTACATGGTGCTTGGATGAACTTGAGGAGATTCTTGAATCTCGAAAAAAATTTGGAGGACAAGTTTTTCCTGTCTTCTATGGTGTAGATCCATCTGATGTAAGATATCAAAGAAGAAGTTTCGGAAAAGCTTTAGCCAACCATGAAAAGAAATGCAAAAAAAGCGAAGACAAGGTTCACAAATGGAGATCCGCTTTGTCGCAGGTTAGCAATCTGTCTGGCTGGGACGCTAGAAGTCGGTAAGTTTTATTTTTCACTTTTTTCCTTTTCCAATTATGTTTATGAAGTAGCGAACCCAAAAGTAGCGTCCAAATTTGACTTAGTGACATGTGGCAAATATATAGTACTATTGCTATTTAGCTCATGAGATAATCGAACAGTGGATGATATCCCTGTTCTAAATTTTAAGTCAAACTTCCCACTAAAGCTCTTTATCATTTCTAAAGCCAGGCTACCCCTTTCCGTAATAAAATCTAAAGCCCCGGCCCAATTAAATATCAACATCGGTTAATATATATATATATATATATATATTTTTCCCAACGTTATATCAAAAGCTATGGCAGCATTCTAGTTTTGTTGAACAATATTCATCTTTTTGTTTCTCTATTTTATTGTGACTATAATTCATATTTTATTTTTTTGGTGAAGAACTATATTTCATGATCATAAGCTCATGGGTTTTTTTTTTTTTTTGGGGTCAGGAATGAAGCAGAAGTCATTCGAGAGATTGTTGAAACAGTATGGAACATTGTATGCTCTAGTTTGCCATCTTATGATGATAATTTAGTTGGAATTGAGTCAAGGATGGTTAAGATAAATGCTCTCTTAGAGATAGAGGCAGATAGCATCTGTTTTGTAGGGATATGGGGTATGGGCGGCATTGGTAAGACAACTCTTGCTAGACTTGTTTTTGAGAGAATCTCTGGCCAATTTGAAATATCCTGCTTTCTTGCTAATGTTAGGGAGATTTCAGAAAGAAAAGGCATAGTTAGTTTACAAAATGATATTCTTTTACATCTCAACAAAGGGCAAAAGATATATGACGAGCATTGTGGAAAACGATTTTGAATCGACTTTTTCGGAGTAAAAAGGTTCTCCTTGTCGTTGATGATGCAAATCATGTGAGTCAATTAGAGAGTTTGGCAAGTCCAAAGTGGTTTGGGGCGGGGAGTAGAGTGATTATAACGACTAGAAATTTGCACCTACTGAAATCACATGGGGTGCATAGAATATATGAGGTCAAAACCATGGAAAAAGATGAATCTCTTGAGCTTTTTTCCAAGAAAGCATTTAAGAAAGATCATCCTGAAGATGATTATTTTGTTTTGTCAGAAATTGTGGTTAAATATGCAGGAGGTGTTCCTTTGGCACTCTATGTTTTAGGCTCCTTACTATGTGGCAGAAGTCTCCTTGAGTGGGAAGAAACTTTAGAAAGGATGAAGCACATTCCAGATAAAGATATTTTTCAAATTCTTAAAGTAAGTTATCTCGGATTGAATGATGAAGAAAAGGCAATTTTTTTAGATATTGCTTGCTTCTTCAATGGATGGAAAAGAGATGAAGTAGCTCAAATTTTGAAAAATTGTGATCTTCATCCAACTATTGGAATAAATATTTTGATTGAAAGAGCTCTCTTGATTGAGAAGAAGACATTTGATGGAGAAACCGTATTAGGGGTCCATGATCTACTTCAAGAATTAGCCAGGAGTATTGTTTTTCAAGAATCTCCTGGTCATGTTCATGGACGAAGTAGGTTGTGGAATCTAGAAGACATCCATGAAGTATTGGAAAATGATAAAGTGAGTGCCTCATGTCTCAATGCTCACATGCTGTTTTAATAATTCTAATGCTTTTAGTAAGCTTTACTTTAATTTGAAACCATTCTCATGTTATGCTTTCTTGCAATGCACATTTTGTTAGGGATCTGAAGCAATACAAGCTATGGCTTTGCCTTTTAACCTAGATAGAAAAATACAAGTACATCGTGACGCCTTCTCAAAGATGTATAATCTAAGGTTGCTCATCATATCAAGTGAAGTGAAACTTCATAGTGGTCTCAAATGCTTTTCTAGCACATTAAAGGTTATTCGATGGAGGTTGTATCCTCTAGAAACTCTTCCGATTGGAACTCAGTTGGATAAACTTGTCGACATTCAAATGCCTTTTAGCAAAATAAAACTCTGTGATGGCATGCAGGTGAAACACTTCATACCTCATTGTTTTCTTGCATATTTGTATTGATGCCGATACAATTGTTTTGTGAGACTAATTCTCCTACATTTTTATTCATTTGATCAGCTTATGAAGAAGTTGAAGTTTATTGATCTAAGCAATTCCAAACATTTGGTTGAAACCCCAGACTTCTCAGAAATTCCAAACCTGGAAAAATTGAATCTTGAAGGGTGCTCATCTCTCATTACGGTTCATCATTCACTTGGAGAGTTGAAAAAGCTTGTTGAAGTGAACTTGTCGTGTTGTACCAGTCTTGAGATCCTTCCGAAAATATTGGAAATGAACTCTTTGATAAAGTTAGATATTAGTTGGTGCGATAAACTTTCAACTCTTCCAGAATTCGGGGAATGCATGAAAAAATTAACAGTGCTTGATGCAAGGAAAACTGCTATAACCAAACTTCCAGAATCGCTTGGATTCTTGTCTGGTCTTAGAGATTTGAATCTAAGGGGCCCCCGAAAACTTGTTCTTCAAATGTCTGGCTTTAATCTAACATCATTAACCATGTTAGACTTGAGCTACTGTGGCATTAGTGATGGATCAATTCCTGATGATTTAGGCAGTTTGTCATCATTAATTACTTTACGCCTGGAAGGAAATGATTTTGCTAATTTACCCATTGGTTGCTTCTCAAATCTTTTTCAACTACTTCATCTTTATTTGAATAACTGTGAGAGGCTTAAGTCACTTCCAAAACTCCCACCAAGGTTAATGCAACTATATGCAACTGGTTGTGACTCGATGGAGCCTTTATCATCAGATGGAATGTGGAATCTACTTTCATCACTTGACCATGAGGTATGTTTAACTATAACTTATAAGTATATCGATTTATTTATCCATTTCTTTTAACTATGGATATATAACATGATTTTTTTTGTTCCTTGTTTTAGTATCGCCATCAAACTAATTATAAGAAAAGAATGTTCCAGTCTAGCCAGGTATAAATGTTTGTAATGTATTCCTCTGTATTCTTCATTCTCATTTTCAAAGTAATTAGTGGCAATGAAAGTTATAATAATTTTGTGACAGTCGAGATATGTACCTGAGGCAGATTTTCTTGCAATAATGCCAAAATCTGAGATACCGTCATGGTTTCCAAACAGAGGCTCTATTCCTTCAAATGAAAGTGGTACTTCGGAATATGAATTAGTGGTGGATGTCCCTCCATATTTTCGTGCAAGTAAATGGTCTGGACTTGCTGTATACCTAGAAATAAAAGACAGCTCAACCTGTGATAAACTTGTCATTTCATGGAGTTGTAAAGCTCGTGAAGATTATTACATTTGCAAAGAATGGGAGAATGAAATTTCACTTATGTACGCCTGGCAGCCTCGCCTCTGCCTAATGCTTTTAGATTTCAATGAGAAAACATGTTGGCAACATTTAAGAGGAAATAGTAACTGTCTTCACATCAAACTTAGCGTCACTTGTCAATATTCTAAAAGCCCACGATTGAAATGTGGGTGGCGGGTGCTATCTAAAGAAGAGATGCAAGATTGGGGCAATCCCACCATTGATTTCAACAGGTTAACGCAAGCAGAGGTCGGTGCTTCTGATATTAATTTTAATTAATCTTTCTCAAGCATTTGATAATTGAGTTTTTAACTCGTGATGAGTATTAATTTGATGCACGTAATAGTATGAGATATGTTTCTCATATTTATTTCATTTTCTTTACTTCTGTCATTGTGATAACCCTGTTGTTTTTTAATTGTAATCTCATACTCTGTAATTTGTGAAGGTGTCTTATTGTGATAACCATATTTATCACTCTGATTGTTTTGTTCCTTCAATTTGTTGGTTCAGCATAACTCTTGTTCTGAGCTGCCACCTCTAAGACAGGGTAATTTCCATGGTAGAACACGAGGAAGAAGGAATGTCAGTAGCAGCAGTAACCGTGATAGCTTAAGGAGACGGGAGCCCAACAGACAGAACCTAGGGAGGCGAGATCCACTAATAGCTTGGTGGCCAATCTAATCTGCTAGTTGAAACATTTTGACCAGAATAGTAGGAGGGATTATAGAGGATTGTCATTTATCACCGATGCTTCAGGATAAGTATAGTCTGCCTATCTAATAACGTTATTGATGATTGATATGAAAAATGAAACACTTGTGTTTTCTAGCTTCTTAGTATGGATATAGTTCATGTATATGAAATTAATTAAAATATATGTGATAGCTGAGTGAAACGAATTTGATACTATACTGATTGCTGCAATTGATGCAAATTTGATGAGAACTTGAGTATATATTTATTTCCCTTCGTTATGATGATGATCAGTGGCCTTTTTCATTCTTATCATTATGAAGAGACATATGCAGATGGAGTCTATATTATTCTTGGCGAATTATGATAAAGCCAACCAAATTTTGGGTGTTTTGTTGAAGTTGTACCTAACAACTGGGATGCTTTCTAAGTATCTTTCATTCTTCTCACAAATTCAACTTATTACCAAATTTCTTTCATACGCGGATGAAATAAAAATAAATACAAGGAGATAAGAATGGCCAGAAATAAAATGAATAGGACCCATTTTACGTTCCACCCGATCTGTTGATCTTTTCTAATTCTCTAATGACAAAAAAGCAAAAAAAAATCTTAAAGTTCATGAATATTGTTTGTTTTTATTTTTTATGTAACCAAGTATAGTTTGTTGATTGATTTCCTTTTGATTCCTTGGTGAGTGAGGATTGTAAAGTTGGTCTTCTCCACATGCCTGATCTGTTTTATGCCATACATGCCTTTATGGCTCAGAGAGTTTCTGAACCTAGATTCGGGCTTGTGGATGCTTTTGACAATTTCATGAGGCAGAGAATAGCTGGGCAATTCCCCAACATTGATGTTAGACAAAGGTCTGATACTGCCCTATTTCTTGAATGGAGTCAGGACTTTTTCAATTCTTGCCCTTCGTTCATGTTTCATGGTAGTAGAGGGGAACCTAGGCCTATTGATTTCGGCGGTTTATTGATAGCCCCTGGACTGGAAGCATTTATTCAATAGCTCACCATGAATGATCATAGAGGTCTTCCTCCAGCCCCACATACTTCAATTGATGCAATGGGTACAATTAAGATCAGGCGGGCGCCTCTTCGCTCTGATTCACACTGGCCGGTCTGTCAAGAAAAATTCGAGCTAGGCTCTGAGGCTAGGCAAATGCCTTGAACCGTACTTATCATTCTTGACTGTATTGTTCCTTGGTTGGTTCAGCATAACTCTTGTCGCGTTTGCCTCATTGATCTGCCACCTACAGGACTGGGTAGTTCCCTTGGTGAAAGTCAGAAGGTTAATAGCAGCTGTAACCAAGGAAGGAGAAATACACTATCATCTTGGTGGCCATTATGATCATCCAGTTGAAACGCTAGTCATTATGCTCGGACCAGTGTGTCAGCAGCTCTTCTACTATTGATGACCAGAATAATGGGACGGATTATAGAGGATTGTCATTTGATGACCAATGTTTCAGGATAGTAAAGTCTGTCTAATAATATTCTTAAAAATGATATGGAAAATAACTCGAAATACTGGTTTTTTTTGTTTGTTCTTTAATATGGATATTGTTGATACATCTACATGTGCGCGTGTGTATCAAATTAAAAAGTGTGTGTGTGATAACTGAGTGAAATGATTAAATATTAAATTTAGCGCATTGTTGCAGTTGACGTAGATTTAATGGAGGAGAATTGAGTTTATAATTCCTTCCTTTTGATTTCCTGGTTGGCTGGGGGAGGATTGTAAAGTTGCTCTCCTTCAATGTTTATCCGACTCCTAATATTCTCATAACCGTTATTTTCTTTTCTCAGGTCATTAAAAAAATATTACATTCCAAAAGCATTATAAAATTGAAATTACAAATGATGAGTTTTTAACTCATGATGAGTATTAATTTGATGCGCGTAACAGTATGAGATGTGTTTCTCATATTGATTTCATTTTCTTTACTTCTGTCATTGTGATGCCCCTGTTGTTTTTTAATTGTAATTTCATCCTCTGTAATTTGTGAAGGTATCTTGTTGTGATAACCATATTTATCACTCTGACTGTGTTGTTCCTTCAATTTGTTGGTTTAGCATAACTCTTGTCCTGAGCTGCCACCTCTAAGACTGGGTAATTTCCATGGTAGAACCTGTGGAAGAAGGAATGTCAGTAGCAGCAGTAACCGTGATAGCTTAAGGAGACAGAACCAAGGAAGGAGAGATCCATTGTTGTTAGCTTGGTGGCCAATCTAATCTTCCAGTTGAAACATTATGAGTAGAATAGTAGGAGGGATTATAGAGGATTGTCATTTGATCACCAACGCTTCAGGATAAGTATAGTTTGCCTATCTAATAATGTTATTGATGATTGATTGAAAAATGAGTGGAAACATTTGTGTAATTAAAACATATATATGAAATTAATTAGAATATATTTGTCAAAGCTGAGTGAAACGAATTAGATACCATACTCGGTGGATTGTCGTAGCTGATATAATTTTGATGAGGAGAACTTGAGTTTATTATTATTATTCCCTTCATTATGACGATGATTAGTGGTCTTTTTAGTTCGTGTCGTTATGAATTAGCTTCACAGAACTAGCTAGTGGACATATGCAAATGAAATCTATATTTTTGTTGGAGATAATTATGATTGACCTAGCCAAATTTTTGTTTTAACAGCATAGATAATTTTAAACTTCCTTCACTTTTCTTACAAATCTTACTTAACCAATTAATCCTTCATTTATTGGTTATTTTGGTGGTTCAGATGAAATTTAAGTAATCTACTAAGAACAGTTCAATCTCTTATTTGAATTGGTTAAGGAATTTACTTTTGGTTAAATTAATCTAACATTTTTTAGATTTTTTCTCTATTTAGATGTAGTAAGTTCTTTGTTAACTTTTGTAAACAAAGAACTACCTCCAGTCCTAAATATAAAAACTAGTTGACTAATTTGATGAGATTAAGGAAATAAGTTAAGTTAGTCATTTATAATAAATAAGGGTTATCTTTTCTAAAATATCCTTACTAATCAAATATGTTAGCTATAACTAACTACCATTATTAGAAGGGCTACTTTAAGAAAAAAATGCATAAATATGAGAAACAAAGTAGATTGTAGTCTTATATTTAAGACCAAAATAAAAGTCAAATGAGATCTTACATTAAGGATTTGATGTAGTATTAATTAACTAGTGCTTGTACTTTATTCATCTATTATTATTTTTTCTTTTCCCTATATGCATATATATATATATATATATATATTAAAAAAGTTGTCCAAGCAAACGTACGCATCTGCAAAAGTGTAGAAATCTCTTCAAGGAAAATTAAATTAATTGTTGGGTTAAAATACATTCAGCATCATAAAATTTTCATTCAACAACCTAAATTATTTTTTCAGTATCACTAATAATCTTAATTTTTTAGTAATATTTAGTGTATTCAACATCTTAAAATATTTTGAATGTCGTTGAAAAAAATATTTTGTTAGATTTAACCCTTAATTATTTTGAAAAATTTCCTCCACCAATTAAGTATGTCTAAAATTCTCTTGATTAATTACTGTCCCTACAAGTTGTTTATTCTTTTGGTTGTTTGCAAGAAATTTAGGCAACATATCGAATTACATAAATATTTTAGAACGTGAAATTGAAAATCATCTTTTCTATGATTAATTTATAAATGATTTTGAGGTCCAAAGTCCTCGTCTTGGTCAAACAAATGAATTGCTTCAGCGAACTTGCCAAGCACTCTTCTAGGAAGCTTGACGTCGTCAGTATCAAGAGAAGGAAGTTGGCTGAAATGATTGAGATGGCACCACTCTTGTATCTCTTCTTTACACATCCCTTTATTTCACTGTGATCAAGAATAGAATTTTATTTATGATATATTTCCTATTATATTATATACACAATAAACAAATAGAACAAGTAATCAATAGGTGAGCCACTTAATTACCCATCGTAAACTAAATGGCTTCCACCAATTTTATGTGCATGCATACATACATAAGTATATTTATATATTCTTATTGCAACTTGATTTCATCATAAAAATATAATTCATGCCAAACATATGTTTATGTTTGTCTAACTATGAACTACTTATCTCTTCTTCTTGAACTGTTTATTATTTATTTGTTCTTTTCTTCTTCCTGAAATAAACATATCCATATGATAGAATTTTTCTTCTTTTTTTTTTTTGGGTTTTAATATCAACACATAATTAATTTTGCGAACAAATTGCTCATGCACATTGAGGCGTGTCTTTTTATTTCACTTTATTTTTAAATACTCTGTTTCTTTGCAAGTGATACATCAACACGTTATCTACCAAAATATTTTATTGCCATTTGATATACATCAACACGTATATTTTTATGTACTAACTTAAACTTGTAGTTATGCATGGAACTTGGATCCTATTCTCTTTCAAAATTGGAAACAGGGGAGGGTGTTTCTAGCCAAATTGAAAATTACCAAGCTTCACTCTGTTTCGTAAATCTGGTTCTTTTTATTGTCCTCTTTTTTTTAGTTTATTATGGTAAGTGGTATGATTATGTTATTGACACCTGTGTTTGCATTCCCGCAAGTATATGAGAGGAATGATTCATGCATGTGGCTTACAATTTAGGTACTATTCTCATGAAATCCACTGGTACCTCATCGTGTAAAGCACATGGAGCTTGACATGTTCTTTTTTATAGAGAAAATGATTTTCTTTACTAGTGAATTGTCACTTTCGATTTGTGTTGACGAAAATAACAAAAGATTTAAATTTTACCGAAATGCAATTGTATTTCACTTCATTAAATGCCTTTATTCATGTTAACAAGCGCTCAGTTTTCATTTATGATGAGGTAATTAATTAAATTCCGTTTCTTTCTGAAAACCTCATCAAATGACAAAATTTTTTGAAACAAAGACAAATATCCTGGAGTGACAACTATCATATTAGAATGGAAGGAGTAGGAAGACGATGAGTCATTGTTACCTATTCTCGTCCATTTTTCTCTGGTTCTTGAATCAGTAAGTCAAATACTCCCCCATAAAGAATTCTTCAAATGCTCTCAGCGGAAGCTTGACCTCATCAGAAGAAGCAAGCTGGGGTTGGTTGGCTTGGTTGAAGAAACCATTTAGATGGCGCCAATCTTGTATCTCTTCTTTACGTATCACTCTCCACCCACATTCCTCTGCTTCCCAATAATCTTGATCACGTGATGCAAAAGAAAATAGAATGTGAAGGGAATTGTTATGACGAGCTCTTAGGTGCCGCCAACATGTTTCCTCATTTAATTCCAACACCATTATTATGCAATGCTTTTCGTAAAGGGAGGAAGGAATATCACACTCCCACTCTTTGGGTGCATAATGATCATCATCTGGTGCAGCTTTACTACTCCAACTAAAGTCACAAGAACCCTCACCGTAACCTGACATACGGAAGCACACAACAATTCCGCACCATTCACTGTCACGAAAATATGGAGGCATGTCCACTTCAATCTCATATTTCCTACCCCACATATCCAAATGGCAATGTTCTTTATTTGGAAACCATGATGGTATTTCGCATCCTGGAAGACTTGCACAGAAATCTGTCAGCGGAGAAGGCCATTTAGCTCCCTGCAAACATATCAAACAATATGTTATTAACATTAATTACCCATGAAGGGAGCATATGTGAGAAAAAAAACACAAAAATAAGACACACATACCTTTAATAGCACAGAAGGAACAACTTCGTCCCAATCTTCCTCCCCATCATTATAGATTTCATATTTAGTTCGCCCACGACACTGAAATAAAAAATTAGTCATGTTATGTAATTGCAGTTTTAAGGGGGAAAAATACACATTAGAGGTTGTAGGAAGAGAAACGCATACCTCATGGTCAAGTGAAGCAACCAAATCCCATAATTGTCTATCTGATGATAATGGTTCCATTAAATCACAACCGAAGGCATGTAATCGAATTAATCGTGGTGGGAGCCTTGGCAACAACTTAAGCCTTCTGCAGTAATCCAATGAAAGGAAGACAAGTCGAGAAAGACCACACAAGTCGGGTAGATTCTCAAAATCATTAAAGCTTATATCCAATACAGTGAGCAATGATAAACTGTCAAAATCAGGAATTGATCCATCGTCTAAGCCACACTTGCTTAAATATAACTCTGTTAAGGACGTTACATTCCAGCCAGAAAGATTTTCAATTTTGCGGCCGCGCAAATTTAAATATTCAAGACCCGTCAAGGATCCAATTGATTCAGGAAGTCTAGTTATAGAAGTATCATCCACATTAAGATATGATAGTTTTTTCATACCTTCCCCAAACTCCGGGAGCTTTGCAACTTTTATACACTCCCTAAGGTTTAACTTCACCAAAGAATTTGTTTCCAGTTTTTCTGGTAGGATTTCAAGGCTTAAACATTCATTCATGTCCACGTTAACAAGCTTTTCCAATTGTCCAAGGGAGGAATGAACCTTGACAAGAGATATGCATCCACCAAGACGTAAATCTTCTAAATTTGGAGCACCTGAGAAGTCTGGAGTTTCAGTCAAATTGATAGAGTCTTCCAATACGATAGATTTCAACTTTGTCATGCGCTAGAATCAAACAAAAGATGGTAGAGTCAGTCTAACTAAGCAGTATATCAATAAAACATGAACACAAAGATATAATTTTAAGATAAAAAATCATGCATGAAGCATCAATCTTACCTGTTTGTTGCTCCAAAGTTGTTTTATTTTGCTATCTGACATATCCATTTCAACAAGTCCATTCAATTGAGTTTCAAGTGGAAGAGCTTTCAAAGGAGAATATTGCCACATAACAACTTTTAATGCACCAGCCAAAAATTTCCATTCACTTGGGAAGATGAACGGATTGTCAAGTGTCGTACATAAGAAGAGCCTAAGGTTACTCATCTTTGAAAAAGCTTCAGGATGTACTTCTATTTTATCGTGCCCGTACCGAAACCAACCTTGCAATTGCATAGAAATAGCTTCTATTGCCTCAGATCCCTAATAAAAATGTCATTTGCAAGAAAAATAACATGAGAATGATAAGAAAATAAAGAACATTAAAAACATTAAATGTATGTCAAGAAAATGAGATCTTTAGAAAATATGGCACTCACCTTGTTATTTTCCAATACTTCCTTAATTTCTTCAAACTCCCACAACCTGCTACGCTTGCCAACATTCTTGGGAGATTCTTGCTTAACTATATTCCTACCCAAATCCTGAAGTAAATCATGCATCTCTAATCTGCCACCTTTTGTTTCAACTACTAAAGTTCTTTCAATCAAGACCTCTATTTCAATGATTGGGTTAAGACCACAACTTTTCAAAATTCGAATCACTTCTTTTTTCCGCCAACCCTTGAATAAACAAGCAATATCTAAAAATATTGCCTGTTGTTGCTCATCCAATCCATCATAACTTATTTTAAGCACTGGATAAATATCTTTATCAATATAACTTTTCTTTAATTTATCTAAAGCACCTATCCACTTATCTTTTTCTCTTCCGCGAAGAAAATAACCCAAAACTTCAAGTGCCAAAGGAAGACCAGCTGCTTGTTCAACTACAGATTTAGATAATTTCCAATAAGCCTCATCAGGAGGATGGCCTTTGTTGAATGCTTTGTTTGAAAAGAGTTGAAGAGATTCATCTCCCTCCATGGTTTTCATCTCATATATTCTTTGCTCATCTACTTCAAACGAGGTGAGCAAGTGCTTATCTCTTGTTGTAAAAATTATTCTGCTTCCTTTACCAAACCAATATGGACTTTTAGCCAAATTATTTAATTGTTTCTGATGATCTACATCATCAATGACTAGAAGAACCTTTTTACTGCAGAGAAGCTTTGTTATCATCTTCATTCCTTCGTAATCATCAGAAATTTCCATGCCTTTTATTTTGAGAGGAGAAAGAAGCTTTCTTTGCAAAGAGACAACGTGGCCTTCTTTTTCAAATGTTTCTCTAACATTGACAAGAAAGCAACACACTTCAAATTTGTGGGATAGTTTTTCAAAAACAACTCTAGCAAGAGTTGTTTTACCCACACCGCCCATACCCCATATCCCCACAAAACGTCTGTCATCCACCCCAATCTCCAAGAGAGACATTATATCACGTGCTCTTGACTCAATCCCAACTAGATTGTCAACATGAGATGGTAATTTAGGAATTATGTAAGCCCATACCTCTCTGACTATTTCTTCTATAAGATCTGCTTCCTGCCTATCAAAAAAATACACATAACGTTGTTTAATATGAGTTATATAGTCACAATAAATTAAAATAATAATGAAAAATGTGACTTTTCACAGGTATTGTTTACTAAAGCAACAATACATTTTTTGATATAACAGCGAATTTTTGAGCATCTAAGAGTTGATCCTTCTGCTCATTAAAATTAGAAATGTGATCATTTTACCCAAAAGACAATCGAATTATTCATAATTTTGTTGTGTCTGTATTCATCAACGTATTAATTATCAATGTGCACTGTCATTCGGTTCATCCATTCATCATTTAAAAATTTGATTTTTCTCTTAAAAGATCAAAATGAATGCCTTCCAATTTTCTGTTGTCACAATGGAAATAGCGCTCCTCACAAATTTAAATGATATTGTTCACAAGTATAAAGGGACTTCTAATATAAAGTAAAAAAAAAAATCTTCATAAAGAAAACAAATGAAAAAGAAAACTTATCATTAGGAAACTTCATATATTACCAAGAAGATAATTAAATAGTGCGCTGCAGGGGATTTCACTATAGATAATATATTTCTCATAACAATAACTGAAAGTTAGGGGAAATGCTTATAGAAATTTCAAATAAACAATAGAAAAAATTACACTAAGAACGATGACTGATAATTATTGTTGGGTTTGATTAAATTTATAATTTTGAAGGACTGAAATGTTAGCAGCGTAGTATTAGGGATTTGGGTGCCCAATTTTGCTATAAATATTACAGGTATTTGGGAAGAAGAAAAAAAAAAAGAAAAAAAAATTGTGTATTAGACATGGAATAACACAATTGGGGTGTTCAACTCGTCCTATCCTATTCTAAAACCTTTTTTTAAAAAATTATTTATTAATAATTCTTATTAGATTATTCAAATCACTTATTAATAATAATTATTTTTTGTCGTGATTTTCACTTTTAACTTGTAATGTTACCTCCACAAAATCTTCTTTCTTAATAAAATAATTTATAAAGTCATTATATAATTTTTTTTACAGTTTTTTTTTTGCTGTATTGTTTTTATACCTTTATTACATTATATAATTGAGCTTTCTGTATAATATTTTTTATAATGCTTTCATCTTTAGAAGCTTAACGAAAAAGCAAACATTGTAACATAAAAATATTCAACCCCAGAATTACAATAGTTAAAAAAAAAAACAAAAGAAAAGAAATGGGACGTCCCATACTATCTCAATCCCACAAGACATAGGACGTCCATCCCTGTTCCCAAGCCTGTCCCGATCCCATTTCATGAGCAGTTCTAAAAGCAATTGATTATGTTGTTGATGAATAGATTTAAATTTCAGAGTGACAACTATAGGGGAAGGGATATGAAAGTGCCACCAGTTTTTATAACGATAAGAAAGTTAGTTAGTTTATTTTGTTCGTTCAATATAATTATAGTTTTTATGGTGCCTGAAAATAAATTTTGAGCTTTTGGCCAAAAACGTAAATTTTGAACAAGGTTCTTCAACATAATTTTCTCATCCTCATGTATGTAAGCTATAAAAGAATTATTATATATAACGTAAATGCATGTAAACGAATATTACTTATAATTAATACATTAAAAATTAATTAAAATTAACACAATCAGTAATCCATACTTCAATGAACCAATTATACAACGTTTGTTGAAGTGTAACATAATAAATATATTGGCAAAAGGCTTAAAGTATATATTTACTTCTTTAAGTTTATTTCAAGTTTCAGTTTAGTATTACAAGTTTAAAATGTGTATTTTTGGTCCATTAAATTTAATACTGTTAACCTTGTTAACATAAAATGCTAACTCAACAGTTTCAAAATGATGATTCAGCATTTAAATATTGACATATTAATTTTTAATTTAAAATATGTAAATTAAAAACATATTTATAATAAAACCTAATTAAAGATGCCTTCAAACATAATTATTTCCTGTGATCAAATTTTCTAACATAGTTCTATAAGATTTACTTTTAAATTTTCATAAAATTATTAATCTAAAAATATCTTAAATTACAACTTATTAATTTTTATGTAGCTTTTTAAATTATGATATTAGAGTTAGTATAAAAGTTAACACTAATCTTTAAAATAATTATAACTTTTCAATTTAAATTTTAAGATTAATTGGATAATTTTTTTCCACGATAAAAAGTAAGGAAAAAATTTTTATTTCATAATTATAAAATTGCAAAATGATTAATAAAAATAAATTTTTATTTTAAATATTATTTAGATATTTTAAATTAAAAATTAATATGTCAGCATTTCAAAACTATGTTATTATTTTAAAATGATTGAGTTAATATTTTTTATTAGTGTTAAGTTCAAAGGACTAAAATTTTTTCTGTCAAGCAAATGATTAAAATTAATTTTATTAAGGAGAGTAAAGTGAAACTTGATGTAAATTTAAGAAATTTGAGAAATCTATACTTTATTATTAATGGGAGATTATCATCTGTGGGGTTCGCATTTGGTGCCCATCACCTGATGAGCAATTTGAGCCGTTCAGATTTAATCTGGACGGTTCAGATTTAATATTTTTAAATAATTATTTTAAAATAAAAAAATTATATTTTTAAAGAATGATAGTTAAGAGATTATCTTTATTTTTTATCCTATACCTATTAACATAATTATTTTAAAAAAATAAAAATAAAATTAAAATTAAATCTGGACTGTCCAGATCTGATCTGGACGATAATGAGCACCCAATGCAAATCCATCATCTGTGCCGATAATGGATGCTACTTTCATGTTATCATCATCTCTGCCTAAAATGATTATACACGATTTAAACCAAAACGAATCTGTGCCTCAAATAAATATAGAAAATATGATTAAACGATTGTAAAAGAAAACTTACCTGCCCCTGGTGTCCCAACCAGACAAGTTGGCAATTTCACACAATGCACTTCTCCAAGTATGCACTTTCACATTGTCCTCTCTGAATCTGTCTTCATGTTCATCCATGGCTTCCTGAAAGCGTTTTCGTTGGTGTCTTACATCGGCTGGATCAACATCATAGAATATGGGAAAAACCCGTCGATCCAATATTTCTGAAGCTTTAAGGATCTTTTGAAGCTCCTCTAAACACCACGTAGATTTTGCATAATTTTCAGAGATAACAACAACTGCACAGAGAGAATCCTCGATTGCTTGCAACAGATCTTCTTTTATGACTTTCCCTCTCTCAAGATCTTTATCATCCTTAAATGTTTTGATGCCACTTCTTTCAAAAGCTTTATCTAAGTGATCCAGAAACTTCAAGCGAGTGTCTTTCCCTGTAAAACTCAAGAACACATCATATTTCCAGTTAGGAGTTGAATAACGAGGATCAGAGCTGGAAGAAGATTCTCCTCTGGCAGTATGTGCCATTGCAGGGGTTCAGTCTTTTCGTTTTGACCAAAGAGTAATAATCTGCAACAACATATAATCATATCAGGAAAACAAAAAACGAATCAAAGGTATGAAATTAAAACGAGTGGGGTAAAATAAAGAGAAGTTTTTGTGCAGATCTAGAAAACTTATTATGCAGAGATCCATACTGCTTAGAAAGCTGTTGTTGAAGCAATCTCACTTTCTTGTCCACACTCACTGCAATAAAAGGAGAGATGTGGAGGACGAAAGAACCAACCTTTTTCCATTCTCTTTACCCAACTTTCTACTGCCATTGACTAAAAAGCAAAGACTGACTTTAGTAGCGTGGCTTCCATGACTTTCCCTTCTTATTTACAAGAAATATCATCCTCAGATCACCGCAGCGAGTGTCCGAGTGCGCGTTAAGTGATGAGCAAGGAATGCGGGATGAGCTTTAATTCTTTAATTCTTTTATTTTCACATGCTATGAGAAATATTGTGAAGCTATATTTTCTGCATGTGTGAAATTCTCTTTACATCTGATTATATTATTTCTTTCTTGGTTAAGAGGATTGCTTGATGTGTTTGGAGAAGCTAAATTGATATATTAATTATAAACTTTAAATAACTAATTTGTAAATAATAAAAAATTAGTTAAAATAATAATTAGATTAGAAATATATTTTTATTTTTAAATATATCATCTTGTAATAATTGAAAAAAAGAATGAAATACTATCAGTTGTCTATAAACGAGGTTTTATAAATATGATAGGAGGTAGTATAATGTATGAGGATTGTTATGAGAGAGGATATTATAAAAGAAAAAAATTATTAAAGACAAAATTAAAAATTATTAGATTTAAGAACAAATGTAATTTAAAGCTTGTAAAATGAATTATGTTTATTTAAAAATTTAAAATTTATAACCAAGTCTAGCAGTCAATTTAAAGGGGAAAATGGAATCATCCGCGACATTTTATTTTTTTCAACATCGTTTTGGAATCCCAAAAAGGCAAAAGTGTCAGCTAAAGGAGACAGAGGAAGAGATAGGGGAGACAGAGGAAGAGATAGGGGAGCCAACTTGAAAGGGTGTTTAGATGCCTTAAAAAGTATTTCTCAGAAATATTTTTTTACAAATCAGGATAAATTATTTCACATATTTACTTCGTAGACCTTAACATCACTTCTGAAACTATAATTTGGCTTCCATCCAAACACCTCCAAAATTTAGATTTTTTGAATAGCTTTTTCCACATTTCCACGGTAATAATTAGAGAAGGTACATATATACAGACGTGTAGAGCTGAACTACGCCAACTAATGGGCAGTTATATGACTGAACCGATTTTTTTTTATGTAAAAAAAATTAAAGTAAAATTTAATAATTTTTTAATTTTATTCATATTTAATATGTATTATACCTTATATAAATAAAACTAATACAATAATAAATAAAGGATGAAATTATACGTTGATACCAAAAAAAATTTCTCAATATCCTATAAATAAGACTAAAAAATATTGTTTCTTTCTACCTTAAAAATAGGATCAGATGAGTATTATTAATGATAGTTTATGATAAAAAAATGTCATGATTTTAAACTTTAGAAATAAACCTGTGAGAGAGAAAACTTTCAAGTATTCAAAATCCAAATTTTGTAAGTAAAAACTTTTAAGTGACATTTAAAATAGTTTATAAACAGTTTTTTTAGTCATGATTTATGACGTATGATTATAAAAAAAATTTTATCTCAACTTATTTAAAATATCTTTATAAATATTTTTAATCTAAACGGCTCTAAATTTTTATCTTAATCCAAAAAGGAAATTTCGACGAACGAGGGGAGACGCATTGACCCCAGCTTTTCAAGACTGGCATAAGTCTTGCTGGCAGATTTAGTTTCGGTAATAAAGCATTGTTATTGTGCATTATATGGATCTAATTTAATTAGATGTTTTGGGTTTAATTTTATTTGAACATTATAGTTAAAAATTTTACCTTTAGACTATTGAAATTGTGTTTTAACTATAGATTTCGCCCCACCATGAATACCATAGCGCAATGAGTACGAAATCCGATTCTGAGTCCAATGTATTATTGCTTCCGGTTTTAATTGTGAGATTTTATTCATATTATATAAATAAGATTTTATAATTAAGGCTGAAAGTAGTATTGTGATATATAATAATTCTTAATATAAAAATTAAATAATTAATTAAAAATTAATAAAAATTTTAGTTAAATTAGTTATTTATAACAAATAGACTTTACTAAATTACTCTCTTTAAACATGTATATTGGAATTATTTCTTAGTAAAAACTCTTTACAATAAATAGAAATATTTTTGGAAAAAAAATCAATGAGAACACCTCAATCTTATTTATTAGGGAGAATTATTATGAAGTCTTAAGGATAGAATTTAATTACCAAAAAGTCCCAATGAGAATTTGTCATTGCATGTTCCTCAATTGTAAACTATAAGATAATTAAATCCCTTCCTTGGGATCAGATTACGATTCCTCCTATTTATTATCCTTATTCCTTTTTGTTTAAATCTAAAGAAAAGTTTTGCTAATATTTATGAACTCTTTATATGACAAAGTTAGGAGTAAAATTGCAGCTTTAACCTAAAAAGAAATGCCCGAGATTATCGGAGTATGTAGGTTCTAACCCAAAACAATTTAGCAATGGATTAGGCCCGCTATAGGATATAATTACTATTAAGAGAGTATTAACAAGAATAGAAAATAAAACTAAGATAATGAGTTCTTTCTTGAGTCATTGGGTTTAGACATTATTTTGAATATTTTTAATCATTTTAAAAATGTCGGCAACATGCTATAGGGTGGTAGTCTCGTTGGTGCACGCTAACCATATGGAAAGTATTATGGTATTTTAGTAAACTTTGAGCCATTTAGTAGCTTTTCTTTAAATCTACAGAAGCCATGAGGTACAAATTGAATAAGAGAAGGTGAACCAATTATTAGTCCAGTAAACACGCGCCAATCAAACAGTCAAGTGAATTTTACACATGAAAAAAAAAAAAAAAAAGCATCACTCCCTCTAGTCCTTGCTATGAGAAGTCATCTGAAAGCATTTCTTGGTCCTTTTCGTAAGAGGCTATGGCAGTCTTAAGGAACATCACATATTTTTTTCCCCATATAGCCAAATCTAATAAGGGTTGTAGAAGAGTATAAATTAATATGATATTGAAATTTAGTATAGTTAATGAAGATAATATTAAAAATTACTTGAATTTTATAACAGATTTAATACTTTTAACTGTTTTTAGTAACATCTTATAATAAGGATCAAAGGGAATATAATATTTCTCTAACCAAAAAAATTCTTATTACGCAGAGATTCATGCTGCTTAGAAAGTTGTTGAAGCAATCTTGCTTTCTTCTCCACACACGCTGTTGTGATCTACAAACGCCGACCTGCAATAAAAGTAGAGACATTGACTGAGAGGATGTTTGTATCTACGAATAAAAATAAACTCCTTTATATATTTATTTTGTATATCGTAGAGGCAAAGACTTACTTTAGTGAGGTTTCGTTACTTTTCCTTCTTATTTACTTACAAGCCTATACAAATATGTGCGCTTCAAACATTTTACCAAAAAAAATTTAGTACACTTTAAAATTTTTATTTCACAAATCATCACATTATCTAACCGACATTACAAAAAGAGATTGCCCCGCGTGAATTAGCAGGAAGGGCTCTCCTTCCCATAACTGTCGGTTGTGGGTCCCTCCCCAATCCCTCTGTTCCTTTTGTTTCTTTCTTTGATCCTTCTTTTTTTTCTTTTAATTACTTCTTTCCCAAACATATGAAATTTAGATGAGGCTTCATGACTTTTCCTTCTTATTTACGACCAATGTCTTTTTCTAAATTTACAAGCCTGCCCAGATATGTGTGCTTCAAACATTTTACCCAAAAAAAAATGCAAAACAGAAAACATTTAAATCTGGTATATACTTTCAAATTTTTATTTTACAAATTAAAGAAGAGATTTTAACGCGAACAAATTTACTTCGACTTTGTGCAGAGTTTGGCTTTTGGTAATGGTTTATGTTTAAGAGAAAAGGGAATTTCAATTTCACTGGAGTCTTATTTATAAAACATGAAGAAAAAACTGTTTTTGTCTTGCCTATAGGTATTTTATTCAATTTTTAATATGAATTTACTCTTTTATTTTTTATTTATTATTATACAAATTATTATTTTTTATAAAAAGTATATTACATAAGGATAAAATTATAAAGTTGTTAAATTCTAAGATAAAGTTAATAAGGTTTAAGACTTTTTTTATTTTTATAAAATATGTTAAAAGTAACTTATAAATAAGACATGAGGAATATTATAAAGTTGTTTCTTCTGCATGTGTGGAATTCACTTTATCTCTAAATATTTTAAGTTTGATTATATTATATTATATTATGTTATTACTTACTTAGTTACACCTAAATACTTATTTTTGAAGTTGTAAATTTACTTATATTTCTTGTCTATAATCAAATTTTTGTTGTAAATAACTGAATTTTTATTGTAAAACACTAAATTTTACTTGTTCACTCACAACTAAATACTTATAATTGAGATTTTCAATTCACTTATATTTCTTACAAATAGCTAGAGTTGGGTTATAAATCATCGAATTTTTATTGTAAATTATAAAATTTCATTTATTTATTCACACCCCATGCTTACATTTTGAGATTGTGAATTCACTTATATTTCTTGTAAATAGTTAAATTTGGGTTGTAAATTATTGAATTTTACTTACTCATTCACACCTAAATTGCTCATTTTTTAGGTGAATTGTCAAATTTCACTTATTTATTCATACTTTTGGTACTTGTATTTTATATATATATTTTTTGTATTATATAATTAAGTGATTTAATTGGTTTGATAGTCACCTTTTTTCAATCTGCCAAGAGATCTGGGATTCAATCTCCTCTCTAGCCACCTTATTTGATTAAAAAAAAAAAATCCTCCGGACACCAA